AATAGAATCCAAGCTGGATTGTTCATCCCAGGAACAGAATCCAAACTGGACTGTTCACCCGGGAAAAGTACCCAAGGTGGACTGTTCACCCTAGGAACATAATCCAAGGTGAACTGTTCACTCAGGAAAAGTACCCAAGGTAGACTGTTCACCCTAGGAACAGAATCCAAGGTGGATTGTTCACCCCGGGAACAGAATCCAAACTTGGATTGTTCACCCAGGAAAAGTACCCAAGGTGGACTATTCACCCCAGGGTAAAAAATAAAATCCCACCTCGGAACAGTGTTCATCTAGGGAATAGTAACCCGTGACAAAAAAAAAAAAAAAACTCGGGAACAATACCCGAGATACTGTTCACCTCAGGAATAGTAACCTGAGGCAAAAAAATAAAAATAAAAATACAAATAAAAATAATAAAATAATAAAATAAAATAAAATTGATATTTCCTATTCCAAACTAGGAAATATGGGGGCATATGATGGGGTAATTTGTGAGAATGTGACTCAATAGACAAAATACTCCAATTTAATCTCACAGAGCGATCAGCTAAATGGATAGACAGTCACAAATAAGGTATTTCGTTCAAACTAACACGTTTGAACTTCAGAGATAAGGTGAAGCGTTTAAAATTCAAAGTGATCCTTCAATCAAACCAAGGATAGCAGAGGAAGTTAAAGTCTACAACGTGCTTCCCAAAAGATCTCCTTGAATCACGACACACACAACAAATTGGGTTAACGGTCAACTATAAAAGCAAGTCTAGCCAACCAAACAGGTATGAAAAACAATTAATACATAAAATTACTTCATTATTTTAGAGTTCCGGTAACTAATTTGATCGTCAGAGGTTCTTGGCAGGCACCACATTGGTGTCAGTCAAGGTTTATCTCTTTTCTTTGCAGGAAAACTTCGTCCCGAATTTCGCTTCAGCAAGAACAGTTTTGGTGTGATTGTTTAGCTAGGGTTGGGGTGACGGTGGAGTAGGGATAGAAGGTGCAGGCCGGGGATAGTTATCTTGCTCTCCCTAACCGCGGCCGTTGACGTCTCTAGTTATGTTGAGCAGCGAGAACAACATAAAGAGAGAAGAAAAAAAGGACGGCATAAATATTGATTGAAGACGTTCTCGACCAAATGATATCAGTATTGGCAAGAAACACTGGTTTTGTTTGTACTTGTGCTCTACTGTAGCTGGCAAGTGGCAAGTGGCAAGTGGCAAGTGAGTAATATGTATCATCCGATGATATGTGATACTACGAGATAAAAGAACATACTCTCTGAAAGCTTGACTAAGCCGTTGACACTAGCAAAGGAATGGCTTTTCTATTATTTGGTTTGAATACATGGAACTTCCTTCAGTAGAGCGAAAATATGCATTTTATTTTTTACATTAACTCAATGGTAGAATCTCAGAACAAAAATTGTATGTATATGTATTTTTAACGTACTAATATCCCTATTGGGTAGCTTGGATCTCAGTATCATTGTATTATAATTGTTAATATGAAATTGGTGTCTTAAAATTGAACATATAATTTAAGATATTTTCAATATGAATAATAATACTTACCCTGATTTATATTTAATTAGTCATTAATGTATTAAATAAGAAAATAAAGTCTCACTTTCTTATTTTTAGTATTTATTGATCAATCCAATTCTTCACTGCAAGTATCATTACCCTTTCATAAGAATGGCAACAAGGCGGAGTTGCGATGAATTTGGCTAAACCGTACTTCTCCAAGTTAAAAAATTCATCATACCAACTTCACTCCTACTCCAGAACGGATTTATATTTAGTATACCATTCCCGCTCCTATTTCGGCTTCCACCCCGCACAATCCTTTTAATTGTGGGGTGGGTTATGGCACTTTTATTATTTAGTAAAATAAAATTAGCCCAATGTACACTAAAATTAGACTGATAAATAAATTGGCCCAACTTTTAAATTATTCAGTAGTGAATATTTAATATATTAACATGTACTTTCAACAAAGTAACAGAATCTTAAAAAAATTTAAAAGTATATATATAATCAGGGCGGGGGCGGGGGCGGTTCATCAGTAAATCCGCCTCCACCCTAAACCTATTTTGATTGTTTAATTATTTTATCATACCTGTCCAAGTTCATTTAGGAGGAGGCTGGCGGGCAGAAACCCGACAGATCCTTTCAATATAAATCAGGAATCAAATAATATACTATGATTGAAGACAATAAAATTCCAAAATCAAAAAACTTGTAGTTGAACACGCCGGGACTCCTATCTCCGAAACTCAACAAAAGCAAATGGAAGTAGATAAAAAATAACCCAGACTGAAACTATGATTTTAAACACACTTTTTCTATCTAGATTTTCTGTCAATTGTCAATTGAAGCAGGGAATGCTATCAGTTTAATACTTCTACAATGCAATGTCATTTCCATCAACATACTTCATTGAGCTCACCTCACAAATCCGTCTCTCTCCATCCAAAATGTCTTCGTCCTGGACAGCTCTAGTTCGAGTTCGAAGAAAGAGACTGGGTTCAGGATGAAAGGTCAATCTAGAAAGAGAATTCTACATAGAGAAGCTCAGATCTTTTGTATTATATCGAGGGTAGAGAAAGATGAGTTCAAGTAAGGTAAAGAGTGAAGTGTTGGTCACTTTGTGTATTAAACAAATCAAACACAAAAGCTAATTTTCATGGCATCTGAGAAAGATAGGGAGTAGAAAGAGAGCTTTCTTTGATAAAGTAGTAGAACAATGTAGAAAAGATTGAATAAGAGACACTAAATATTGGAAGTATTTTGTCAGAATAGGCATGTCTTGCTAAAAAAATTGTTTAATAAGATCATAATAACGAAGAAAAACAACCAACGACAAAAGCTACTTCAACACCCTAATATATATATATATATTAAACAGCATCAGATCCATCATGCTTTAATAGTACAAAATGTTGAAAAGTTGATAGAATAACCATAATCGAAGAGTTGAAACAATAGTAAAACATTTGGAGAGAAACTGAGTATGAAATCAATTAAGATGGTTCGTGCAACGAGGACCATAACTGTACCAGGGAGTGTTCGATGCCGGAGTGTTTGACACCGGAGTGTTCGACGCCAGAGACATGCATAGAGAATGTGTCTAACAAGTATTGTTGGACATGCACCTAACAACAATGTCCAATAATTCATGTTCGGATAATATCCGACGTTTAGACATATATGCACACAACAATGTTCCAAGTCCAAGTAATATAGACATGTAATAATCCAGTAATATCTTTCATGACAATGAAAATCAATATTTTTCATATATTTTATTGAGATTTTGAGCAAGGCTCTCATACCAATTATGCAAATCAAGAAATCAACTAACTAATAAAAATACCTCATCATACCTAAAGAGCTTGAATTGAACACACGCATTAGGCCAGAGAGTGTACGGTAAGCTACATGAGGTTACCTGGTATGAAAACCAGCTGAAGTGCATTTTGCGCAAGATTAACAGTGTTTAAAAAGTGCGAGGTTACGTCGATTGAGGCTTTTCTTGCACCGGTTGTAGAGACTTCTGCGCATGCGTAGTAGGATTACAGAGAGCCATTTTACCAGTAGTGAATAGTCTTCTATCGATCGAACTTTGGTTATAGAGCCACCTTAAGCCAGAAAGCTCTTGTACTGGTTGAATGATACATTGTACCAGTGGGATTTTCCTACTTCAAACTAGGATAATAAATTCTGATAAAAGTTAACTTCCAAGTCTTGTCTAAAAACTTATGACGTCTTCTACTTCTTTTGAATGACATTTTCAACTAAAAAGAATACTTTCTATGTAAACAAAAAAACTCAGCTAAGACAAGTTTCAAAGAGAGAAATTATTGTAAATCAGAGAGCTTTTTGAGTGAAAAACGAACTGAGATTTTCTGATTTTATTTATTTCAATTGAAACACACACTTCTACACTAGACTGTTAGTAGTGTTTTATTTATTTAGGACCGTGAGTATTCGAGTTACACTAACAAGTACATAAAAAGCAATCAGAGCAGCAGTTTCAATCGGATTCTTCACAAGCATTTATAGAAGAAGAAAACAATCTGTCACAATGAAAAGTATTATCATGAAGTGATTGTGTTATGTGGATCAATGATTCTAGTGATTTTAAAGGTACTCAAGCCGGAAGACACTGAAGGTAAAAAATACAGCAGGTGATTCAGCAAATGGAATCAGCTACTTGTGAAAACTGAAAAAAAAGTTCCGAAAACAATGGGACTCATACTCACTAATTATAGGGGATTGATTTGCCTGAGACAGCTAGCCTTGTGGTTTTTCCTCACTGAAGTATTTGACGTGAAAAATCTCTGGTGTCATCTATCTACTCTCCTACTTTACTGTGTTTGGCTCTTTCTTAGCTTTGTGATTTTGAGTTGGCTTGTTTGATTGTGTATTTAAATCACTAAAACAGGACTAAACTAGAATACAAGAAAAAGAGCAAACTAGACCTATTCAACCCCTCTAAGACTGTTTAACTGAGAGAAGAAGACAATCAATCAGTACGAAAAGTGGATCATCATGAAGTGATTGCATTGGCGTGAAAAAGTGTTGATGATTCAGAAGGTACTGGAGCCAGAGGACACTGAGAGTCAGAGTCAAAATTACAACAGATGATTCCAAAGGAACTAGAATCGATGACTCATGAAGAGCAGTTCCGAAAACACTAAAATTCATCCTACTATACCTCAGGGACAGTTAGAGTAATTTACCCATTATTTATTCGTGGCATTTAGTGATGGGGATTTAGATCAACCCTGAATTAGCGGCTAAGCAAGCCCAAACTGAATAAGCATATTAATGAATATTTACCACAAGATCTCGCACCAAAAATCAGGCTAAATTATCACTCAATTAGCTCCAAAACTGATGGATTCATAGCGATCAAGCCTACTTTCCCATCCAACACAAAAACAGCTGTATGTTAAGGGGAAATCACTTCATAATAAGCATTTGAGTAATAAAAAGAAGTACAAGCAAACTATATGATATATATTTCAAAGTTTGAATGAAATGTCTTTACATATTTGGAAGCATTCCAACAATGACAGTTCCATATGCATGAACAGAAGGTAGTTATTTACGTTCCATTAAACAGATGAGGAACCACATACAAAGAAAGGAGACAGTACAGGAACAATGCAAATTAAGAACTTATCATTTCATGCAGGTAATGCAAAGCTCTGCTGTACCCATTGTGGAGGATCCATCACTGCACAAGGATCAGACTTCTCAAAATCACCGACCTACAGCAAATACAGAACAAATAACAGTATAATTATAAAATAATAATAATAAATAAATAACATGATCACGCCAGATAAAAGAGAGTGCCAAACTTTTGACTTTAGAATGCTTTTTACCTTCTCATTGCAGCCCGGGCAATAGTGATATTTATGCCAAAGGCAGTCCATTGAAGGACAGAGGAAACAAACTCCAAGCATCATCGGCATCATACAACCAACAAAGGCCGCCAAACTTAGTTTTGATCTGGGTTACACATTGAACATTACAACAAAGAACAACCCAGAAAGATCTAAAACTAAATCAACGTCACAAGTAAACCAATCCAGTAGGCTTTTAAATGAATATATATAATAAAAGAAAACAAAAATTGAAAAGAATTTTTATAAATAAATGGCTTCAGAAATAGTTAAGGTACTGAACATTGATTCTCTAAAAAAGACATTATACCTTGCTGCTCTGCACCTATTATGGCTTCATATGGTATGAGCATTACAGACAGACATACAGCTACATATTTCCTTTTTATGGATGAAAATAAAATCCACTAAGAAACCTATGTACACTAACCAATAAAAAGAAGCACATATGAAGCTACAGTTCGCAGCAAAAAGATCTTAAAACTTAGAAAAGAGTGAGGAAATACTTGAAAATTCCGTATTTCAGTTCATAAGAAGCTAAAAATCACCACCCAATATTACAATCAAACGAACTCAAATTATAGAGACTCTACCCACAGAAGGTCCAATAGCCTATGTGAAACAAATAGATTTCTCAGGACAACAAAAACAATCCACTATATGCTGAACCATAATGCATCCAACAAGTCCTTCGGAGATCTTTTTAGTAGATGCACTGGCAAGCATCAACTATCCGCCTGCTGAAAACTTTCATCAGTAGTTCGAACACCCATTTAGCTAATGTTATGCTTTGTTTGATCGCAGTGAGTTTGCCATAACCCAACAAAACTTTCAACAGAAGAAGCAATATAATGATTGTGGTTCTGGTGGGTGACTAAGAGAGGAATTATTTTACATAATCAAGAAAGGATCCCAGATGGAATATAATGGGTGGAAGTCCAGGATGACTCACCAAAAGCAGGAATAGGAGCAATAAAGCTCACCAGAGCCTCCTCAACATTAGGGATCTATAATGAATTAAAATATGTTTATTAAGATATAGTACTTTATGAGTTATATTTTAATATCACAGATGAAGAAAAGGCCCAGGTTAATCCTTTTATCTCTAACTATAGGATGTGTATCTATCCATACTTCAAAGTCAATGGAAACAAGATGGTAACCATGCCTATGTGATAGTCCAGCCAGGTCATTATTCTCACCTCAACCATTAACCTATATAATGCCTCTGAATGCACTTTGATTGTCTAACTCGGGCATGGTACGTGCAACATTAACAACTAATGTGGAGGCGATTCAACTCTAGAGCATCATTGAGTGACAACCCTCAATAAGCTTCAGTGCCGTCCAACAAATACCTCCAATGTTAAGGGAATGGTTCCTTTCTTGGTGACTATATAGGGTAGGTGTGGTCCATCACTGGTTGCCCCACATCATTGGGACATATAACATCTAGGAACAAATGAAGTCTATCTCGCCTCAAGCCAGTTGTGATGTGTACAAAACCTACAAAACTCAAGATTAGGTTAACTTGACAAACCTTAGACTTTAGCTACCAAATCAGGTATGAGGTACCCCATACAATCCCAATGGATTGAGAAATGTACGAATACCTCGAAACAGACTATGACAATAACTGCTCTGGTAGGAAAAATGTTTGTTAGTTGGAACATTTCATAACAAAGGAGTGTAATTTGAATGAAATGTCGTGTCTGAGTCTGGTCTACGTGAGTCCTCATTAACTTACAAGGAAGCCACATGATACAAGTAGAGATTAAAACTTGAAGATGAAATCGCTTAAAGATCATGTTGAAGTTCATCATTGCCTCTGATCACACTTAGGTAAGACCTAAGTAAGTGAGTCCTTAGAGAACAAGGGTTTAAATGGTACTTGTAGTTAGAATTTAGACCCACCTTGACCCTAGGTGACTATTGAACTCTTAATACCTGTTAAAACATGGTTAAGTTTGGAGGCTGAGAATCTTAAAAAGAGATCTAGACTAAGAGAAGTTGTAAACATTGCTCAATTTTACAAGAATATTGCCTCTGGTACCATTGTATTTGGTGAAGATATAGCATCTCAGCAATGTCATGAGGATATAGTTGAATTTGTGGATAGCTTGAGAGCTTATAAGTTTTTTGTCCTTTTGATGCTGGTTAAGCTCCCATTTGAGTGCTTTTTCTAATATACTTTACTTATCAAAACAAAAAAGTAATGGTGATTAAATATCGAGTTTAATTTCTCTATGAGGTATATGAGAGCATTCTTGTTGCATAAGGGCTCCAAACTTCATTGAGGGAAACAAATTAACCAAAGAGCTTCCCTTGTGTAGATGTGGTCACTTGATTACCCACTTTGTTCATTGGTACATTTGTTGTGGAAGGTTTGGCTAGAGATTCAAAATTGAATCAATGAACACCGCCAAAATGAGCTAATGTAGCTGGTGAGTGCACCGCAAGTATATTGGCATCACAAGTATACAGTTCTAATCTTCATTGAGTTCGCTTACAGTGTTAAAAGGATATTAAGGTAAAATAGAGCTGAACAAAATTCTAAGAGTCCATAATCAATTGATGGTTTGTTGAACTTTGTCCAGCCATTGAATCAATTGAGATTCATTACATACATTTTCCATCTCACTAGAATACCTGCCCAGTGGAGTCACCTCTAATGTGGGTTCACATGAATGATATAACAAGACGCCTCAGTAACTTGAGGCTCCAAAAGATCAGGGTCTTGTAATAGATCATATTAGGTTTGCTGAAGTATAATAGTTTCAAATTATATCTTAAAGTCCCAAACGACTCAAGTGTAAGTTAATCCTTCTACTCTCAAGCATAGAACGTACGTCTAAATTGGAAACAAGGTAGTGATCATGCCGACATGACCTCATCACCTAATTATACTCCCTGAGTCCCTCTACCACAGACCAGTGGAATGACTCTACATGCACTTACGTTGTCTGAATTCAACATAGTAGGGATGGCACTAGAACTATCGAGAGGCGCTTTTGTCTCTAAAGAAATGCTAAATGACAAACTTTCCCAATAAGCTTCTCAGTGGCCCAAAGGATGCGACCACATTAATGGGTCAATCTCTTTGATGGTCCTTGAATAGGGCGGGTGTGGTCCATCACAATGTTGCCACATCACAAGGGTATCGGCATACGAATTTAGGAGTCAAGTAATCTATCTCTCTCCTTGAGTCAAGTTGAAATGTTTACAGACCTAGTTATGAGATTATCGCAAAGAACCTTGGACTTCAACCACCAAAATAAGTGCTCCTAGGATTCCAGTAGGATGTGCCACGATCCCGTAACCCCAAAGTGTGCTTGAAAATAACCACACAACACCAGATTATGCTATATTTGTATACCTCAGGATCAGCAATTATCTCATCCGCGCATTGAATGTTTTACACCCAAGTCTTGCTTCTAAAGTACATTAGACAGCTTAAGCCTTTAACATTAGAGTTTCAATAATACTTTTAGAAAGGGCAACAAGACTTACCCATAGAAGAATTATTTGATATTAGATGCCTGTGCAAAGGCTGGGGGATCACATTCCCCGACCTGCTTAACAAGAAAAACAAACAAGAGTTCACCGTTGCGAAAGAGGGATTGCTCAACTAAATGTTTGCAATCAATCCTAATTGGAGATACAAACAACTCCACCAAGTACACGACCATTCTGATTCTGCTCCATGTTTGATTGTTAAGCACAACACAGCTTGACAAGCCCTTCCCAAATGGGGAACCATGTGATTCATTTTGGCCATCCACCCACTTGAACGAACCATGGAACTCCTCCTTGCACAATTTATTGCACATTTCATGATTAAAGATGATCCCAACCCCAAACATATCAATCGACAGGAAAATAATCCATTCAACAAGCTCAGAACGGTACGCTCGAAACACACCAATTATTCAACTCAGAATTGCCACATTTGCCCAATTATATTCCCATAAACCCAAATCAAAACTCCAAGCTCAAAATTCAATCGAAAAGTTCAAGTTCAAGTTCAAATCAATTCCAAAACCCTAATTTTCTCAAAAATCGAAAATCAAGAGCAGAGACAAATAGAGAACCATGTAAACCCCCAAAAGAAGGCAATAAGAGAGAGAGAATTTTGACATACCTGACGTTGGTGACTCCAGAATTGCCACAGTAAACGCAGCTGAACGGAGCAGGCGTGTCTCTGTAGATCGTCTGCTGAATCGGAATTCCTTTCGGGTCTCCTACGACGGCGTTCGGGGGGATCGCTCCGGCCTGATACGGGTTCTCTCCGGCGTAATACTGTTGTTGATGAAACTGCTGCCGCTGCTGCTGCTGCTGATGGTGGTAGGTCGCCGCATAGGGGATTCCGATCGCCGGCTCGTCGGTCTTCGACATTTCGTCCGATGGTGATGGATCAGCGAATTGAATTTTCAGTCCGAAGCCTTTTTCTATTCGTTGGATGAGAAGGCGAGAGGTTTTTTTAGACGGTTAATCTATTGGCGTTTATTTATAGAGAAGTGTGGTTTTATAAATGGCGTGTTGTACAAGACGCTGACTTGTATAGCCTTCTAGGCGTCAATACACCGGTGGGATGTCAAGTCAGTCCTGCAATTTTCAGGGATTGTTAAAGGAAACTTCCGTTTAATTTCATGGTACATGGAAAAAAAAATTAATAAAAATAATGATAATAATAAAGACAATAATAATATATTATTATATATATTTATTTTTATTATTTTATTCCAATAAAATTAATAATTTGTTGCTATAAATTAGAATTTTTTTTACTTTTGTTTTTTAAAATTTTATGAAACTTACTCGTCAATCGTCGTGTTGAAAATTCAAGACACTTGTAAGTTTTAGTTTAGTCTAATACGAATTATGTCTGCGTGTTTGACACGAGTCTATTAATACTATTATGATCTAAGTCATACAATCTTTTTCAACGGGTGTCACTCTTACATTCCGAGTATGCTTCCGATATCACGCTCCATACGCGCTCTAACTCAAATTCTCACTATTTATGATTTAATTCTACCGTTTTCACGCTCTCACTCTCGAATTTGCTCTCACTCATACTTTATGTAACTTAGATCATAACACTATATATTATAAAAAGAATACTGCTCTTACTTTTAAGTGTGATCTGATTTGTTCGCCATTTTTTATTTTATTGCATGACTTAAAATTTTATTTTAAAATTTTATCACTTTTCAATACTTAATTTCACCATGATAAAAGTTGTGAAATTACATTCTTCTTATATAGATTTTAACACCATATAATTCACCATTTTTAAAATTTTAAATGACAAATTTTATTAATTTTTAAAAGAAGTAAAAAAAAAATATATTTCATGATAAAATTTACCATGGATAGAGGTGAAATTTCACATCGTTGGAAAAAGTTGTGAGGATTTTGATTCCTTCAGTGAGAGCAGTCATTATAAAATTTGGAAATGAAAAGACCAAAAAGCCCTCTCTCTTTTATTCAATCTATTAAAAACATTTTGGTAAAAAAAATTGCCTAGTGTTTATGGACTGCAATGCCAAAAATACTATCGAATGTGGTTAGAACATTCTAACTTGGTTATTTGATTCAAATGAAATTAGAAGAATAACCTCAATTATCAGAACATATCATTTGTAGGTCACAATTTTCAAAATGAAAATCTATTATGAAATGAAAAGAGTAATGTTTAAGAGCAAAAAGGTTATCTTCATGTAAGACCTCTCTTCCTCTCATTTTTTTTTGGTTGACGCTAAAATCGGCTAGCTAGAGCCGATCTTAAATTAATGGAAAACGGGCGTGCCGGAACCAACTATATGGTTCAATTGTGGATAGTCAACTTGCAGTCTCTTAAGGATGGTGTAATGACCTGGCCATTTTCACTCCTTTCCCTTTTCTCAGATTTTCATGGATAATTTTTTCTGTTGATCTTTTTCCTTTCTGAGTTCAGTTTCATGTCGCTTAATGTCATCTTGAGTGCTCTGGAGTGATTTCCGAGACTTTTTCTATGGATTGACAACTTCCTTTGAGGACCGAGTCGTTTCCACATTTTTCGTTTTTCGACACTATTCACTTTTCGTCTTTTTCCCTATTTTGTCTTTTTCCCGTTTGGCACTTTGTTTGCATAACCACACTTCTTGTATTCGGAGTTGGTTTCTGACTTCACGTATCTTCATTCTCAATGATTTCTATGAGATACGTATCTTTACTTTCGTGAGAAAGTACTCTACTTGCTCCAGGTGTCAATAGGGGCATGGATGCATTGTTCTTTGGAAACATTTTCTTTTCTTAGAGTGTTTTTCGTAAATATCCTTTGAAGATATTTTATTTCAGGGGTATTTAAGAAAATATCTTTTTCATTCTGGCGCAGTTTCGCAGTTTTCACTTTTTGGAGGGGCCATTGTGCAATTAATGAAAGTAATTGCTCAATAACTTATTTTGAGCCTGGATTCTTGTACGGGATTCATTTTCACATTTCGTCGAGTCGTGAACTCTTAGAATTTCCTCCTGGATAATGTTTTCCAGTTTCAGGGTTTTTTGCTCCGGTTTGCGCCAAACTTGTTTGGGGCATAACTCTCTACTCGGGACTCAATTTTTGATGCCGTTTCTTCCATTGTTCATATTATCTCATTTTGAATCTTTTTTGTTCACAGAGTTTTTCCGTTTGAGCGCGTCTGCTCAAATTTCACTTTTTCAGACCTGGCGGAGCCCGTTCGGGGCACTTTTTGAGTTTTTCTATAAATAGGGGGTTAGTAGATGAAAAATCAGATTTTTCTCTCTCTCTCCTCTCTCATGGCCGGTCCAAGCTCCTCCCATGGCTGCCATCTTCTCTCTCCTCTTTTGAGCTTCTTCCCTTCAATGAAATACCTTAGTGCCTTAGTGTTTAATTTTTCCCTCGGCGAGGCCTTCGATTCCAACCGATTGGAATCTTGTTTTGGCCATTTCTTGAGTTCGGGTTTGAAGTCAAGTTGTGTTTTTGATGGGGCTTCCTTGGGATTCATGTTCGTGGTGTTGTCCCCGACAAAACCTAGGAGTTTCGTCGGATTCGGAGCCGATTTATTCTGGTAGGGATTTGAGATTTCATCTCAAATGGATGTAGGGGATGTTTTAGGCTTTTGTGTGTGTTGTATTGGGTGTTTAGCATGATTATACAACCTATTTGCATGCCTTGTATCAAATCTAGAAAATTAAAATATTTAACTCTTTGTATAAGATTTAATTTTCATGATGATGTGTAACTTGGTTTTGAATTGTGGCATGGTAGAAACTCTTATTTTAATATATTGGTTAACATATATTAAATTGGGATTAATTAAATAAGAATTGCTCTTTTTAATTAATATTTATCTTTTGTGAAAGATTAAAGTCCATGGCCGTACTTTGCATGAAATTGAGTTGTAATATACTTTTAAATTAAGTCATGGCATGTTCTTTAACATACTTTAATTTGAGAGCATTTGGTTGAGTTTGGAAATCTAGAGACTTTAATTAAGAGAATTAATTAAAAATTTATTTTGTGGTTTCATGGGACTAATTAAGCTTTTGTGTGAATATATGTAATGACCACGATATGTCTTTTATCATATATTAAATTTAGGCCATTTGGAAATGATTTGAAATCTAGAGAGTTTAATTATTTTGATGTAATTAAATTCTATCTTGTTTATACATGGATCTAATTATATTTTAGAAGTTATTTCTATTTTAAGAGCATGGATTTAGACTTGTGATGTATTCACTTGATTGTGTTATATGCATTGAAGAGCATTGTTGTTAAATTTATATTCAGGAGAGTATTTTCTAATGTGAATATATTGTTGGCTTGTGATTTCATAGCATTACAGATATGAAATGCTTATTATGCACAATTGAGAGTTATATTGCTAACTTGTTACTATGTAGTAGTAATATGTATAAGTTATGAACTTATTTGGTTTATTTTGGAGTCTTAGGACATTGTTGTTACATGTGATATGGCTAAAGTTCGGCTTTAGTGCGGGAGGTATGAGTTCTCCCCAATTGAGATAGTGCGCACTTAGGGTGGTTTTTCCTGTGCGTTAGTGCTCGGAACAAGCATTTTGTTCTCTGCGGAAATCTGAGACGTCATGTTCAAGTCTTCCACTATTTGATTTCGCATTCAATTCTAAGTTGACAACCAATGTTCAATTGTGACTTGTTGTTTTGGTTATTGACGATTTGATGTTGTTAAGTACATCCATACTAAATTGATATGTTTAGTTGATTTCACACTTTTAGACTTCTAGTTGATAACCTAGAGAATCTAGGTCTTGATGTGTGGTATTAAATATTCTAATTATACTAAATTGTTATATTTAGTTGATGTTGCATTTCAGACTTCAAGTTGATAACCTTGAGAATCAATATGTTGTTGCTTTGTGTAAGCATGCTCCTATGTTGTTGCATTATGTAAGCATGCTCCTACGTTGTTGCTTTGTGTAAGTGTGACCCTATGTTGTTAAAATTGTATGAATGAGGCAATTGATTCTAGAAATGATCTTAGGTAGCTAGGATGCTCCCTGAATCTCACCTTTGACATAGACGTTAGGTGGAATGAACCACAATAATTAAATCGTGCAAACTTGTAAAACGTAGGTCGATGCATGCTCATTTCCTACGAGTAGCTTTATGTTACTCACCCACGTAGTGGGGACATTTTTCAGGTACAAGAATCAAAGTTGAGGTTTTCATTATGCTTGGATGGTTTGTGGACTTGGAGACTTCCATTATTGTGAAGGTTGGCTTGGAATGCCAATTGTAGTCTTATTTGTCAAATGTGTGTATTTGATTTTAAAAATGTATTGTGTACATGAGTATACTCTTTACAATGTATTTGACATGTATGAGATGAGACCGGAGGCCAATGACATGTATTTTGTATCCTATGTAATTTTTGACTTCATTGAATACTGTGAAAATATTGAAAAATGTTGTTATTGCTTCACCATGTTTGTATTGGGTGTGGGAATTCTATTTTGATCCTTCCATAGGGTCTCATTATTCATGTATGAAGTTTGGCCAAGGGCCAAGTGGTATTTTGAAACCATTTCATGATTTTGAATTCCAAGTTTTCATTCCAAACTTCATTTTTTTTATTTTGGCCGTTGGGGGGTCATATTTGGTATTGGCCATATTTTTGAGCCGGGGACCATTGTAGCACATCTTATTAGGTAAGTTACGTTTGCATGCATGGTCGTTTCAGGGCAAAGCTTCTTCTTTGGTGAAATGTGCCTGCTATGGACTCATTTTACACTTTTGTTGCATAATCTGACCTAAGGGTATTTTGGAAATTTTATTTCAGAAATAAATTCTGTTCTTTACATGGTTGAATAGAAAATTTGATTTTAGGGGGGGGGTTTCTTCTTCATGTTTTTCTGGAAAATGTCGTCTTGGTACCGGAAATCGTTCACGAAGTTCATCTTTCTGTTTTCCATTTAGCAACTTTTTGGACCCTCTGGACCAGTTTTCTTAGGAGGGCATTTTGGGCATTTCACAGTGCATATTTTTCAATTTTTCTAGGAATTCATGTAGAAAACTCAATTTTCAGGGGGGTTTCTTCTTTGTGTTTTT